ATATAGATTCAATATAAATGATTTTGGCCATATTTTTATGCCTAAAAAATCTGGCCAAAATCTGGCCCACAGCTCCATAAAATTAGAAAAGATATAAAAATTTTAAAGAATATTGACTTTGAAATCGAAATAAGCATAAATGTAAAAATTGTGAATTTTTTTGACGTCATCTCTGAAAATTTATAGTCTTTCAATAAACCAAATGATGAATTATCTTATGTTAATATCTTCCACCCCAAATTTTAAAACAAATCCAGATTTCAAGGCTAAACTTCTCTAATGAAAATGTATTTAATTCCTTTAACAAATTTTCGAAGATGCCCTCAAAAAAAGTGGATTTCAAAATTTTGAACTAAAATTTGACCCTGAAAAAAGTATACTCAAAAATCAAATTGACCTAGAAATGTAGTTTGGTTCAGATATAGGAAAACTTTTTTCACTAACATAGCCTATGTCATAGGAAAAACGTTTTTAAAATTGGTCGATAAACACGTCTCGTCTTCTAATAGATTACATAAAATTTTTAATCGAAATACAATTAGCGTTAGCTACAGTTGCACAAAAAATATAGAAAGATTCATAAAAGGTCACAATAATTCTTTGCTAAATAAAAACATATCCTAAATGAAAAAACAACAGAAAATTGAAATTGTAAACAAAAAGAGCACAAAATAATTATAATAATCCCTTTCAAAAAATATTAAAAAAGTAAAAAAAGCAAAATTAAACAATTTTTTTTATCATAGCGTCAGAATATTTCACTAATGCGTGAAATATTAAAGTAGTAAGACATTTATGACTTCCTGTAATTTAAATTTTGATAAAAGTTGATGCTTCATTGATTTGAACTTTTTTCATCAATTTGAACTCGTCATTTCTGACGAGTCTTAATTGATGAAACACAGTGTTAAATGAAAAAAGTTTGACAAGCGATTTTCTACTAATTTATTATTGTTCTGTTCTTTATACCGTCTTTATACCTTTTAGATGATATCAATGCTTAGATCATTTTCAAGATATAAATATTTAAATTAACTTTAAAATTAACTACGTAAAATCAAAACAAAAGCTTTCCAAAAAAAAGATTATGAACTTAAAAAAGCAGTCGAACTTGTTAATGATGGAGAACCTTGTAAACGTGTGGCAAGGCTATTGAACATACAACACAGAACTCTAAGATGTCATGTTAGTGGTTTAAGAAAAACTAGCGTGGTTGGTCGAAGGAGTGCATTGCTACCAGAAGGGGAAGTAACAATTGCTCAATACATTGCAACTTTTAGTGATTTTGGCTATGCATTCGAAATAGTAGACCTAAAGCTGTTTATACAAAGTTTTCTTCAAAAATCTGGTAGGGATTGCCCATATTTTAAAGAACATTTGCCTGGTAATGATTGGGTGAGATCATTTTTAAAACGACATAAAAAATTGCTATCTTATCGAGCATGTCAAAATATTTGTAGAAAACGTGCTGCAGTTATATGTGATTCTGTAAATAGATTTTTTAGTAATTTAGAAGAAACTATAAAAAAATTTTTGCCTCAAAATATAATAAACTATGATAAAACAAATCTTTCTGATGACCCAAAATCAAAACAAATGATATTCCGAAAGGGTACTAAACATGCTAAACGAGTTATGAATACATCAAAGTCATCAGTGTCTATTATCTTTGCATGTTCTGCTGATGGTGTATTTCTTTCTCCATATACAGTGTATAAAGCTGAGCGTCTAATGGACACATGGATACTTGGAGGTCCAATGGATGCACGATATAACCGAACAAAGTCTGGTTGGTTTGATAGTCACTGTTTTATAGATTGGATGCAAACATTAGTAATACCTTACTTCAGACATGTTGACAATGACGCATTAAAAATTCTCATTGGTGATAATTTAGCATGCCATTTGTCTATTGAGGTTATAGAAATTTGTGAAGCTAATAATATTTTGATGGTCTTTTTACCTCCAAACAGTACACATTTGCTACAACCTCTAGATCTTGCAGTTTATGGACCCATAAAATCAACATGGAGAAAAGTGCTTACTGCATGGAAAATTGGGGAAGGGAGGTTTCATACATCCCTACCAAAAAATGTTTTCCCGAGGTTGCTCCCTAATCTAATATATAATATGGACCACATACAAGAGTTTGCTGTACATAGGTTTAAAACATCTGGTATCTACCCGCTAAACAGAAAAAAAATTATTAAAAAGATTTTAAGAGCAGACATTTCAACATCCTCTCAAAACTTAGTATCCCCGTTAGTTCTTAAACGTCTTAAAGAACTTAGAGAAGCATCTGCTAAAAAGCCTGGGACAGTTTTGCGTGGGAAAAAAGTCAAGGTTTCACCGGGAAAAAGTGTTTCACTGGATGATCTTGCAGTTTCTTCTGTTTTAAAATCCCAATCAAAACGCTAGCTAATCAAAATAAAAAATATCCTTTTGAACGACTCCTTAGATAAAATAACTTCTTCAGTAGATTTGGATAGTTTTAAAAATATCGATTATAATATGCCTTCCAACTCCAAGATGTTTATAGAACTACAAGAAGATTCTGCAAAAAAATCTGAGGGTATACAGAAAGTCAAAAGTAAAACGTTAATAAATATCCATTAGTAGAGGGTTCTTATGTTATTGTAAGGTTTGAAGGAAAAAAGATACCATATTATTTTGGAGGCCAAGTTGTAAAATTAGAGGAAGATAATAATTGGAATATTAAATACTTTAGAAGAGATTTTGATGCTTCAAACCCAAGAATTATTTTCTTCAAAGAACCGCAGGTTCCTGATTACTTATTAACAGAAAACAAATCTATTGTTAAACAGCTTCCTTGTCCCCAATATGAAAAAAACAACATATCTTTTTTAAAAGAAATCATTGGTGACTTATATCCTATATTTATGTTTTTTTGTTTTATTTTGTTATAAAGTTTGAATAAAATATATTAGACTATTTTTTCATTTGTTTATTTTATGTTTGAGAAAGTTGACTTAAACCAATTTCAGACTTATGTAAGTTTATACTAGTGTTCACATCCTTCACCCATGTATATAATATGAGTCAGGGTGATAGAAAGTCCGGTTAGATTTTCTGGATTATTTATTTTTTTAATACACAAGAAACCTTTTTTTTAATAAATTATGAAAATTGAAATAAAAAAAAACTGTTCCATTTGATTATGTTCAACATACAAATAAAAAATATTTAAGTTTATTTGAATGCTAGTTAAAGAATATATTAGATTAGATAAAGAAAATTCGTCTGCTGCATTGTTTGTCTTTGGATTCAATTTTTTGCAGGGGGCCAGGATGACCCAAAAACGGGACTGAGTGTCAGATAAGGATCTTTTGCGCGCGCACACACACACACAAAATATGATGCTTTTGATAAAATACTGTCAATAATTTTTATTAAATGAAATTAAATCAATATTCAATATAAAATATAGATTTATTATTGCATCTATCTCCGCGTTAAAAAGCTATATCCGCGTAAGACTTTCCCAAATTTGTATATATATATATATATATATATATATATATATATATATATATATATATATATATATATATATATATGTATATATATATGTATATATATATATACATATATATATATATATATGCTTATAAAAAATTTATATATATATATATATATATATATATATATATATATATATATATATATATATATATATATATGTTTATGAAAAAGGTATTAAGGTGCTCGCTTACCCCAAATCGTGGGGTAAATGCGCACCCGCATATTTTGTGTCACTAACTCTTTGTGGGAATTTTTTTTTAGTTCAACCTTCCTAAATGATAGAATAATATAGTACTAAAATAACATATCTCACTTTTTAAAATTTTCTACAAGTTTTTATTTTATTTAAAAGCTTTAAAAATGGTGCTTAATTACCCCACGCTACGGTATACAATTTTTTAAATTATAATATAGCATAATTAAATTGCGGCACATTTAATAAAACCATAAAATGTATAATATTTGATATTTGCGGTAAGAAATAGAATTAGCCTCATCAATAATTATTATCAGTTTACTTGTATATTTTGATCTAGTGATACGCATTTGTGACTTAATTTTTTATTATTATTTCTAAGTTAAACAAAGACTGTGAAATCAGCGCTCATAAAGTTGTTAATAATTAGTTTTTGATAATTGAAACGGGACATGATAAGTGTTTAACGAATAAAGAAATAGTCAAAGCATACAAAGATACAGACTTATCGGGATATTGCAAAGAAAATTGAAAGATCTCCTAAAGTAGTTAATAATTACTCTAAGATGGGCGTTAAGTATGGAACTTATAATTAGTGGCGGCAAAATCGATAATTATACTAAACGAGCTATTGTACGTCGTGCTACTGAATCTCAAATTTGTGCTGATTTACATTTACCTGTAACTGTTCAACGTGTGAGATAAATTTTACATGAAGATATATATATATATATATATATATATATATATATATATATATATATATATATATATATATATATATATATATATATATATATATATATATATATATATATATATATATATGATGGTAAAAATAAGATATAAATTGAGCAAAAAAGTCAATAAAATTTTAAAAATTTTAACACGCAGTGAACATCAAATACAAAATTTGCGCAAAATAAATACAAAAATTAAAAACAAACAGCTATTGTATAAAATTATAATGAAAAAAAATGACGATGAATCGGTTTTTGCCTATCAATTATCGATAAAGAAACCAATAATAAATGAAAAACAAATAACGCTAAAAATGTTAACAACATCAAATCTCATCAAATTTATAATCGTCATAACCGTCGAAGTTATAAAAAAAAATTAAATTACTCAGTTTTTTTATTTCTTAGAAAAAAAAAATATTCTTAAAACTGTGTAAGTGATACTTAGTATCATTACTTAGTTAATGTTGCTAGACAACACTTGAATAATAGTTATATTTATATTAAAAAAACACTTAATTATGTATAAATCTTATTAAAAATTATTTACATATAAAAATCATCAAATATACAATATAGAAAAAATAATATTTTATGTAATGTTGTACAAATACCTTAGATATAAATAATTTATGTATTATGCAATAGTGGTGGTCAATCACACCCAAAAGTTCGAAAACTGACACTAATCTATTTATAAAGTTTAAAAAAGTTAAATATGATGAGAGTAAACAAGAATAGAAGAAAACAAGAAAAATATAAAATAACAGTGTTAATAACCAGAAAGAAATAATTAAGAATGGGAAATAATGAAAGAAAACAGAAGAATCGAAAGATTAAGAAGTATAAATATAAAGGATAGCTCAATCCAAAAAAGGATGCTTTTACTCAGTAATTGGTCAGCTTTACGTGAATAAAAATTTCAGGAGTTTTTATTAAGTTTTTATTCACGTAAAGCTGAGCAAATACTGAGTAAAAACAATTGCTTTTTTTTATTCACCTGGCCTGATATATGTAATAAACTTTTTCAAGTTTACATAATCAAGCAAACGCTACTATTTGGATTTTGTTTTAAATTTTTTCCAGTTTGTTTATTTAAGTCACCAGATTCATTCCACACTAATTGATCATTATACTCTGAGTTTAATAGACTTTTTTTATTATAACTTCCTATATAAATTTCGTCGCCTTGCATTACGTCTGCCTTTTTTTTAATTGGCTTTTGTTGACTATTTTTTACATTATCAAATGAGTCAGCTTCAGTAAATTCTATGTGATCATCTTCTTCCAAACCCTTTGCTACTAAAGTATTCTGTCTTTGATCTTTTACATACCTTGGTCTTCCTTTATTTGAAAAATTCTTACAACTTTCATTTTTATTATCGACATTCTCATCAAACAACTTACATTTTATAGCATCAGTAAGTTTATTTACAATACGATCAGCACAATCATCCTGATTATCACAATTATCGCTGCAAGTTGTATACGATATTAAACGTAAAGCATTTTTGTAAGTAGAAACTGCTTTGTCATAATCTTTTAAGCGAAAAAAAATGGCAGCCAAACCTAAATAATAATAGTAAATGAAATATCAAAGACTTTTTTTAATTTATCTGTTATCATTTACATTTATTTTATTATTTATAAAATTTATCAGAAAAAAAAATCATCAATTTATCAGAGGTCATAAAAATATAATATAATACTGAAATTGGGAGGAAGTAGTACATGGGTATGGTGTTAATAAGTGAATATTGGTATTTTTTTATTGAGTCTTTTATAAATTAATTGTTCCCTATTCTTTTTTGCATAAATTAATTGCTCCCCATTCTTTTTTTGTTTTTTTGTCTACCATTTAGTATTCAGTATGGTACTGAACTTGATTTCTAGTCAGTTGAGAATAAAGTTGTATTAATTTATTTGGTAATAATTGGCTCTTTAGGTTTGTTTATTGGGTTATATATACTTATATATATCTATATATACTTATTTCAATATATTTTGCATAACAAAAGTATCATAGATGACAGTTGTCATCTTTGTTACTTATATAACTAAGTAACATAGATGACAGTTGCATAACATTTCTACCGGTGTTTTTGGGTGTTTAAGGCTGCAATAAAATTTTAACTTTCTCATTAAGATATATTTATTTAAAAAGAAAAAGAGGATACAGGAAACAGGTCATGAGATCTAGTTATGGGAAAAATAAGTTAGCTTTATCTGTTTCACATTTTTTATAGAAACTTTTCTGTAATAAACTTCTAAAAAAATCATTCATAAAGTTTGGAGCCCTTTTGTTATGGCTTAGAGTTTATTAATAGTAATTAGGCAATTGCTTGGGCTATTAAACAGTGTACTGAGTACTATCTATGTTTCAAGTCAAGTTCTTTAACAAATTTAAAAATGAATAAAGTAACAAAAACTATAAAATACAAAAAACCACTGTCATCACCAAGTTCGCTAAACCTATCATTCACCAATATTCATGGTCTTTGAAGTAACTTTTCTTGTTGAGTCTTATCTCTTGCAAAGTTCATCAGACCTACTTGCCCTTTGTGAGACTAATTTGAGTACAGCTGTCTCATCTTGTTATCTTAGTGTTGATGGCTGTCTTCCTTTAATTCGTAAAGACTCCAATAGTCACATGCTTGGTCTGGGCATTTACATTTGTAAGAATTTACACATTTGTCAGGAAACTAGGTTTGAATCCAGACTACTCTTTTATGTGCTTTCGTTTAGCACCATTTCACTCTATCATCTTTCTCTTTGTTCTATATCACTCTCCTTCATCTCAAGACTGCACTCTTCTTGATGTTATTTCTGATCATATTGACCAAGCTCTCTCTCTTTATTCATCAGCCAATATTGTTGTTGTCAGTGACTTTAATGTTCATTGCACTGAATGGCTTAGCTCTAGTGTAAGTTTCAGAAAATAAAGCCCACAACTTTTGCCTTTCTCAATCCCTAACTCAAATAGTTAAATTTCCAACTCGCTTTCCAGACAACTGTAATTATTTACCTTCTCTACTCGACTTATGTCTTGTTTCTGATCCTAGTCAGTGTTCAGTTTCTCCACATTCACCTTTAGGTGCCTCTGATCACAGTTTGATCTCTCTAAAACTATTATCTCATTCTTCTTAATCAGAATCCCCATGTTATTGTACATCTTACAAGTACCTTAAAGCTGACTGGGACTCTTTCTGTGATTTTCTTTGTGATGGCCCTTGGGTAGGGGTTCCTCAAGGTTCAAACCTTGGCCCTATACTCTTTTTAAAATACATTAACGATGTTCCAGATATTCTCACATCTAAAGTGGAATTATTCGCTGATGATACTACCATTTATTCTTGTCATGATAAGAAGCCAACATCCTCTGATTGCTTGGATGGGGCATTTGAGCTTGAAAAGGATCTCACTTTTGCTACAGCATAGGGCTCACAGTGGCTGGTGAACTTTAATTCAGACAAAACTCAATTTTTTCAGACAATCGTTATCGCAATAATTTAGACCTGCCAATATTTATGAACGGTAATGTACTTGATGAGTCATCTACCCTTCATATTCTAGGATTAACTCTTACTTCTGATCTTTCTTGGAAACCTTATATCAAATCCGTTGCAAAATTAGCATCTGCTAAAGTTGCTTGCCTTTATCGAGCTCGTCACTTTCTTACTCTGGATTCTATTCTCTATCTCAATAAATCTCAAATCCGGCCTTGTATAGAATACTGTTGCCATATCTGGGGCGGATCTTCTAATGATGATCTTTCTCTTTTAGACAAGGTGCAAAAATGCATTGTAAACATAGTTGGACCTGCTCTTGCAGCCAACCTTCAACCTCTGTCACATCGTTGTAATGTTGCTTCTCTTTCTCTTTTCTACAAATACTATAATGTGCACTGCTCTAAAAAGCTAGCGTCTCTTGTGCCATCTACTAAAATTCATTCTTGCGTTACTCGTCATTCAACTAAGTCTCATCCTTTTTCTGTGATTGTTCCTAAGTGCTCCAAATACTCTTATTCTATTAGTTTTTTTCCTGGAACATCAGTTCTTTGGAATTCGCTTCCTTCATTCTGCTTTCCTGATTCATATAATTTGCAATCTTTTAAGTCATCTGTCAATTGTTGTCTTGCTTTACAATCTTCGTCTTTTTTCTTCCAGTAACTTCCAACACTAATTAGTGGTTGCATGCAGCCTTGTTGGAAGCGAAGATGTTTAAAAAAAAAGGTATGTAGGTGTGTGCATGCATGCATGCATTTATATTAAGGTGATGACTTTTTTACAACCTCGCTTCCCTGTATCATAATTTGATAAGCTTTCATTAAAGATTAGATAAATTTTTACTTTTAAGGTGATTTGATAAAAAATGTCATGCAGAAAATGATTTAAAAATTTTTATTTATTAGTTTTTTTTGCCTAATTTTTGAGGTCCTAGTTAAGCAGTTACAAAATTGAACACAAGCCTCAGAGTCACATACATGCAACATTTTATAGGGTCATCAAATGTACAAGGAAGTCGATTATTTACAATAATGTCATTGATGCAATGATGATTGGAGATTCATACTGCAGATAGTTCATTGAAATCTTCAGCACGGAACAATTGACTGCTAAACCAATGGTAGGCCCATGAGTAGGAAATGAATGAACAGATTTTACATAGCCTGTTACAGGTTTCAGGCATCAGCATAAATGCAAGAAAAGCTAGAATGGCTTGTGAGTTCCAGCGTACATTGCTATTGTTTGGATCTGTTGAAACTTTATGAAGGGTATCTCATTTATCTCAGTGTAGTGACAGAAGACATGAGTGAGATGGTAAAGAAACTTTATGTCGTCTCTCTATCTGTTTGTTTCCTTTTCACTATTGCTAAAGGCTGATTTCAATTTATCATAATTGCTCATCAAATCTTTTAGAAGAAGTACTCAACTTTGGTGATTTAGTCAATCCGTTTAGCTCATTGTCCATGACAACGCAAAGAACGTGATTCAGCACATAGTGTTGGCAACAGATGAACTTGGGTTTATGGTGACTTTTCTCTTTAAAAATTTGGTGCAGCCCAACAACAATGCCTGTCTTCATTCTTGAGATCCACTGCCTGATATTCGAAGACATCAATGTTTGCGGTTCTCCAGTTAAAGCATACTCACCAAGTATTTTTTCACCTGAGCAGTTCATATGTATATAGCTTTGTATATTGTTGACTGGCATGGGGTTGGTATTTCAATGCCCTCACCAGAAAACTGGTGGCGCACCTTTAGTGCTCCATGGGAAGACAGCTTCAAGATTGTAACGTAGATAGACGTCTTGCAATGCATATTGGGCTATGCTTTGTTTTGCTTATTGATGTTGCAATCTCATCATCCCAAGAGGTGTTTTTGCTGTCTTAGGATGTCAAGTCCATACTACTTTCAGACCAATCAGGTGGCGCTGAGCTGGTGAGCTGTGGAGAATGTCGCTTTGATTACCTTCATTTGCTTGGGTGGGTGGATGATGCTAACAGGTTTACCAGTAGAATAACCAATCTGGCCTTAGCTCTAAATTTGCAGTTTATACAGGTTCTTATCCTCTTTGTACAACCATTTGCCTTTAACCTTAGTGATGTTAAACAGCTCATTCAAAGCATTAAAGTTTTGCTTCTTTCTGCAGCGCTCATAAATCTTACAAAAGTTTTGCTAATTTTGCACAAGCAACTTGATCAGATACATGTGGAAAATTCAATGTTTAGCTCATAGGGCTTTTTGCTCATAGGGCTTTTTGCTCATAGGGCTTTAAGCTCAACAACAATTACACTGATTCTCACTATATTTTTGGTGGTACTTTTAAAGTCATTGGATGTTTCAAGCAATCTGAAGCATCCAATGACTTGGTTTTTCTGGGGCATAAAACTTTTTTCACTCAAGAATACTTATAAACATTTAAAGTTCTGCCTTTTTATACCTTGGCCGATGTTTGCTTGAAGCTCGTAGTCTAAAAAGTTTACTTGTCTAGACGTTACTTTTGTAAATTAAATCAAAAGTAAATTGTTTTTTTTTGCCTCTTTTTGATGGCGCTTGAAACTGGATTAAGCTCTTTGTCCAAGTTTCCTTGTTCTTCTCAGTGTTAAAAGAGTTCTTTTTAAACAACGTGTTGTATTCTACTCAGCAAATGTAATAGAAAGGGCATAAATGTAGATATTTAAGTGCGTAAGAAATTAAAAAAACTGTAACTGAGTTTTTATATATTTTATTTAAAAACAAGCAATTCAAAACAATAGAAAATAAAACAAGTAAGACACATAAAATATTATATGCAGTTATATGTTTGTATAAAAAGCAAAAATATAAATGTAGATCACCAAATAATATGAGATCTCTTTTAATTAGACAATAATATTGTTGAAACAAAATTAAGCTAATTTAACTTAACTATCTGTTTTAAACAGCTCACTCATCAGTTTGAATTCACAATGTTCTACAATATTTCTCCCTCCTGGTACTCAAAGCCTATCTCTATAATAATATTTAGTATATAAATTATTATACAAGTTGATTTAATGACTTATATTATAAATATTATTAAAACAACTATATATTACACTAAAATGGCCTACATTACATTTCAAATTGGTTTGTGAGTGACCTTTTTCAACATTTTATTGATATAAAGGTCATTTTAGTCACTAATAGGCAAAAGTTCATCCATTCTTGCTACAGGAAATGATTTTTGAGAAAAAAAAGTTGTCACCCTAATGTATATTCATTTAAAATTAACAATAGCACACTCTCATAGTAAAAACTTTGTTTTCAAGGTAAATGAAATGAAAAAAGTAACAAAAAATAATTAAGAAGACATTAATGTTCATGGTTTGCCATTTAAATATTTATAATAATAACCCCATAAAACAATAGTTTTACAGCCCGTTCAAAGGAATATTTTTGTTAAACAAAACTTTCCCAATTTAAAAAAAATGGTAATACAAAAGCAATCTCTAGACAAACAAACTTTTAGACTACTAACTTCAAGCAAACATTGGTTGTTTAATTTAAACAAATTGTCTTTAATTGATTTTTAAACTTTAAACATTTATAATTCAATTAAAAACAATTTGAAAATATTTTTAGTAAAAGATTATATTTAATTCCATGAAAACATTTTAGTAACACACTTAATTATTGGCATCTTGGAAAAAATGATCAATGCTAACAAGGTTTCCAAAACAAAAAAAAAACAAAAAAAAAATTCATATTTATTCATACAGTTTATAATACAGTTAAATAATTAAAAATTTCATTTTAAGAAAATAATAGCATCAAGTTAATTTTGCTGCAAAAAAAAATAAATTTAATTCCTTGAATCTTTTGTAGGTCAAATTTACAAAAAAGGTCCATATTTAGATTGAGTTTATTATTTATATAGTGGTTTTACCTATGGTCTTTGATTTATCACAAAATTTGTTTTTCTGTGCCAATTATTGGCACACCTAATACCTGGCCAAGAGCCTAATACCTGGGAGTGGACGTTTATTGGTTGTTGAAAAATTTTCCCACCTACTCCAAGCTTATTAAAACCTCCCCTGTTTAATAATTTTTACTATTTATCATTAAAGAAATGAATTTTAAAATTAAAAAATATAAGCCTTAAAAACTAGAAAATATCAACACACTGATAAAAACTTTTAATGTAATCAGGCTATAAAAATCGTTGATCTCTAAAAAACTTTCAATGTAATCAGACTATAAAAAATGGTTGACCTCTAAAAAAACTTTCAATTTAATCATAAATATCATTGACCTCTAAAAAAAATTGTGTAACTTTTGATTTAGTTAATAATGATTTTTCGGATTTTTCACCAATCAAGTACATAATATTCCTCCCCATAAAACTTATATAAGCATATTAAACCCTAATAAAATTATGATAAAAAGCCAAAACCCCCTTATATCAATACATTAATAGACCCCCCCCCCCATTTATTAGATTTGAGAAAAATATTCCGACCCATTCTTTTATTAAGCCCCTTTCCAATTTTATTAAATCAAGACAAAAATTTCTACCCATCTTTTTATTCCCACCTCCACCTTGTATAAGGACCTTAGAATACTGTGCCAAATATTGACACAGTAAGTAACTTTTTGAGTAATAATAAGTGCTGTATTTACTCATTCATACCCATATTACCAACCCATGGTTATATGATAAACTACTGAACAGTATATAATATATAATATTATTATATGATACTGAACCTTCAGTAGCTCTAAATTCTGCATTTTTATCTCCACAGTTATTTGCTGCTTGAATAGCTAGTTGAAATGAATTTAATGCTTTAACGTCATCACGGATCTGTGCATATGCGAAAGCCATATTACAAAAAACTTGTGCTTGCTTGCTCAAATCAGCTAATTCAACTAATAATATAAAACAAGAAATTGATAAAAATAAAATTATTTGATAAAAATAAAATTATTTAATAAAAATAAAAGTAAATGTTTATACATACTAGGATTTTTAACTCACCATATATATCAGCAGCTTTTGTGTGATAGCTTATTGCCTTTTCATAGTTAAAAGTTGAATTTAATAGAGCTCCCAAATTTTGATAAACCATTGCAAGTAATATCTTATCTTGATTACTTTCACACTCAACAGATTTTTTGGCTTGCTCAAAACATTCAACAGCAGATTCTAATAAATTCTCAGATATATACAAAAGCCCAATTTCGTGATAAATCTTAGCTTAAAAAATAAAACAAATTTTCAAAAATACCAAGAAAAGAAAATAAGAAAAACAAACAAAAAAATAATGATCCAATAAATAGATAAAAGATAAAAGGAAAATAATTTAACAAACTAAAAGATTTTTTTAAATTGATAAAGCAAAAAAAAAAAAAAACCTTGCAAATTTTTATCATTCAACTCATGACAAAGATCCAATAAAACATCGAGTAATTTTGCACATTCTTCAATCTCTTGCATTTCTGCTGCAACAGACGCAGCATTAACCAAGTTTAAACATTCATTACTCCTATCATTTAAAATACTGTAACTGTTTCTCGCATTTTTATACATTTCAAATGAATCTTTTAATTGGTTTTGAAGATGATAACATGTTCCCATTTTTGATTCACATTCTGCTTGTAGATTTAATACCTTAAGGTCACAGTAAACTTTACGAGCCTTTTCATATGCTTCAACAGCTTGATCAATATCATTTAGTGCATGATGTGCTATGCCAATGTTGTACCACAAATCTGCATAATTTTCAGGTTGAATGTTATCAAAGGATGCAATTTGTTTCAAATATATCAATCCATTTTTTGGTGATCCAGTTGCTATATAACATGCGCCAAGATTAAAACTACAGCTCTGAAAAATGAATTCATTACTAACTGACTTTGACTGATTATATGCTTTTAAAAAAAGGTCTATAGCTTGAGTAGACTGCCCCTTTTTTAATGAATCATGCCCAAGTTCTGTAAGTTGTTGAATTTGTTCTATTTCGCTACCATTTATTATATTTATTTTGTCATCTGTCATTGCAATCTTTAATTTAAAGCCATATTTTATTACAATATTTATTTGTGTAAAGATTGAAGTTTACCATTTATCAAATAAAAATATTAAATTATATATATATGTATATATATATATATATATATATATATATATATATATATATATATATATATATATATATATATATATATATATATATATATTAGGGTGTCCCAAAAAACAACATTTTTGAAAATAATCTGCTCTCACCCCCTAAATGTGTTCTATCTAATCCAAAAACACTAGGTTTAAATTTTTTTTGAATAAAAAATATTTTAAGGGGTCCCTAAAGACCCTCGAATATTTAATGGGTCCCTAATATTTTTGAAAAAAGGTTTTTCAAAAATATGTCAACCTGGTACTCAAATGAAGCGAAATTTTATAAAAATTTTAAAAATAATATTCATTTCGAAACAAAACTGTTAATTTTGGTTTTATTACATAAAAAATTACATTTTTTAAGAAAAAATAAAAAAAAATGAATTTTTCTAATGTTATTTTATGATAATTTTGATAAATAAGTTAAAAAAATTTCGAAATAAATATTATTTTTGAAATATTTATATAATTTCGCTTCATTTGAGTACCAGGTTGACATATTTTTGAAAAACTTTTTTTTCGAAAATATTAGGGACCCATTAAATATTTGAGGGTCTTGAGGGACCCCTTAAAATAATTTTTATTCAAAAAAAATTTAAACCTAGTGTTTTTGTATTAAATAGAACACATTTAGGGGGTGAGAGCAGATTATTTTCAAAAATGTTATTTTTTGGGACACCCTAATATATATATATATATATATATATATATATATATATATATATATATATATATATATATATATATATATATATATATATATATATATATATATATATACATATACATATATATATATATATATATATATATATATATATATATATATATATATATATATATATCCTTATATCGTAATCGAAAGAGCCTTTTAATGTAAAAAGTCTCTTTTGACTACAATTTCGCTACCTTGACAATTAAGCAATATTTTATTGTCGTCGAAATGTCAAAACAATTAAATTAATGCGGAAGTACATTAAATTTTATTGCTTTTTAAAAAAACCACAACAATAATGACTAGAAAGTTTTTTTTAATTAATGGTATTTTAGGTTGTTGTTTTATTAAAAAATATTTTCAAAACATGCGCGGAGTGTTGCTACATGGACTATATTATAGCCTGCTGCTATAAGGGAGTGTTGCTGCATCAACTATCTTATAGCCTGATTCGCAAAGGAGAGCTGCTACATCGACTGAGGGTTTGGTTAGGGCAGGCAGTCTATCATTTAATAATAAAAAAAAAATTTCAAGTTTTTAAACTATTTCTGGTAGGTTTATTAGCGCTCTCTTTAAAACTACAGTTTATGGAAAAAACTTTTCAACTACCATGCAAAACTATATAATATTTTATATACTTTATAATACTTTTATATAAAGAATTTATAATACTTAGTATAAAAATATTTTATACTTGCATATACTATTTATTATATTTTGGCACACATTTATATATTTTTAAACTCTAATTCATTTCCAACAAGATTGCAAGTAGTCACTATTAAGTTATGAGTTAATTTAAAATAGAGAATAAGTTAAAATACTAGGAAACGTATAACTGATGACTTAAAAAGTTGTAAGTTGTATAAAAAAGGAAAACATGAAGATGGGTAAGAGTTATATGGCTTTTTGGATGTGCAAGGAAAAAAACTGGATTAATAAAAGTTTTTTTAGCATGAAAGCACAGATACAGTAAAAATATGCAACTTGTTGATATTGCAGGTCTTATTACATTTACAATGTACTGTTAGACTTTGTCTGAGAGTAAGAGGGTTGTTATTCATCAATATAGGAATGCTAACAATATTGCAATATTTTTTTGCAGTAAATGAGTCTTGTTGTCTAAAAAAATTGTAGATTTTTAAATCTAGAATTTAATTCCATAAGCCACTGCGAGCCTTAGGTTACAGAAGAGAGATAAGATTTAAATCAGCTGCTTGTTCTATGCAGTTAAAAAGTGAAGATTTTTAGTCAGGACAAGAGTATAAAGTTGAGTTACCAGCAAATAGAACCACTTTATATTAATAACTTTTTAACATTGGCTTCTTGCAATAATAAAAGAACATTAGTTTTTAAAAGAGATGTTCTTGTAAAAAAGACGAAAAAAACTATTATTGTTTAATAAAGCAACTGCTCAAGATGGTGAAAAATGTGGAGTAGAATGAGGCTTGACTAAAAATTGAAAAGAAGTAATAAAAGCTTATAAACTTTTATTCCAGAAGGAAAAAAAGTTTATAAGCTTCCACTTCCACAGATGCACTTTATGCATACATACTATGGATATAAACATATGTTTGCTATTTATTTAGATGCTGGCATACAATACTCTTTCATTGTTATATAAAAGTATTTGCCGAAAGAGAAGATGATCAGATGGATGTGTAGCGTGACTCTAGCAAGACAAGAAAAGGAGGCATAATCATAAACAGATTAGAAAAAAAGTTGTATCAAACAACAAAAAGATTTAAGTAATTTAGGTATTAGTCTAACTCAGAAACTTACTCTGGAGTACATATAGAAAGTAACTTGTTATTTTCCAAACATTTCATGCAAGTTAATAAAGCGATGTAATTGGTAAATCTAATAAGACCTTTCTTCAATCCAAACTCATTCTGCTTAAGATGATTTCAGCATTATGCCATCAAAAAATTATAAAGATTATTAATAAAATGACAATCATGGAATACAGAATTGTCCAAGAAATTTTAATAAACGTCTTCTTTTTGGAACAAATCTCATTCTTAGTTTTGAAAAAAAAATGTGAAAAAAAAAATGAAATTCATTATGAATAGAAATGCAATTCCATTAGCTAATAAAACTAAAGGTACTTCGCACTAATTAAGCACAAAATTTAAAAGTTTACATAAAAGATAACATAAACCAATAATTATATTAGTAAATCTAAATTTAAAAAAAATTTCTCTAACAAGATATTTATTTATAACTTATAATAAAGCACTTATCTTCAAAACAAATTAATTGTCATGTAAATACGTAGTTCGACAACTTATCTGATTTTGCATCACGTATATTTTTACGTCATATTGGTAAAATTGATTTTATAGTTGCCAAGATAACATTAAAAACTCGTCACGATCACCCGATAACTCGAATTTTAATTATTTTTAATAACGGGTGAATAAAAAAAGCAGCAATTGCTTTGAGTAAAAGTAAAAGGTATAGCAAAAGGTAAGGCATAGCAAAAGGAATTGCTAAAAAATACGCAAATAAAGTAGGGATATAACCTAATTCCGTTCCGGCCAGGATTTGTGAATTTTAGGTCGATTCGGTTCGGGCCGGAATTACAGTATTTCAGACCGGAATGCCAGAATTGAATTTTTAATTTTTTTTTTAAGATATGTGGCACATAAGTCTTCTATTTCTTAATATTATCAACACAATATATATAAAGCAGAGTTTTTAACTTTTTTCTTTCAATTAATGCAGCACGAAACTTAATTGAATTATTGAAGTTTAAGAAAATGAAAATAAAACTTTTATTATTATTATTTTTTTTTTTTTGTAGTTCTTAGGTGTTCCCAGAATTCCTACGGTCTTATCTCAGAGCACCGCGGGAGAGAGTTTAACAAGAAGTTTACCAATACCTCATTCCGTACCAATGTCACTTGTTGGGCTGGAGCTGGCGTCGAACCTAGGGCCTCTGGGTTCAGAACCAGAACTCTAACCAAAACTGCGCCACGGCTGCTCTCTTTAACAAAGTAAATATATTTGAACAAAGTAAACATATCATGGCTGCTTTACTTGAACAAAGTAAACATATTTCATACCAAAATCTAACATCAGACAAACAAAAGAATTTTTTTTCAGATTTATCTTAAAGATTGTTGATTTCCCTTTCAAAAGAGTTAAAACTTAGTTCACTTGTGATTTTTGTTGGAGGACCATCTTAATATTGTGCTTAAAAAGCTTTGACGAAGTCCATCAAATAAAGATACTGCTTTCTCTGTCTCTCTCTTTCTCTCTCTCTCTCTCTCTCTCTCTCTCTTTATATATATATATATATATATATATATATATATATATATATATATATATATATATATATATATATATATATATATATATATATATATATATATATATATATATACATATATATATATATATATATATATATATATATATATATATATATGTATAAGTCCACTAGATTTAAGCATCTTTAAAAAGAGTTTTTTAAAGATGCTTAAATCTAGTGGACTTATACATGCTGTCAGAGTGGGTTATACATGCTGTCAGAGTGGATTTATACATGCTGTCAGATTGTGCTGATTCCTATAGCTTAATACTTTATTTGATAACTATGTGTTTCTTTTATGTAAAATTATTTGAATGTATCTTTAGGTTACCATATTTTTTAATATGCTGAATGTAAGTCTTCTATACCAGCTTGAGTTTTAATTTTTACTATTAATTCACTACACCGAGGACTCGATATTAAAAATGCTGATGGGACAGCATAAAAAAAGTCATAGCTTTTACAAAACACTACAATTATCTGGACGCAAAATCTAGACAGCTTTCTAATGTTTCTATACATAATGTGTATGAATAGATAAATTTTATGTATAAAATGTCTCCCGTTCATACTCAACATGATATTATCAATTTATGAGATAATGCCATGTTGAGCATGAATGCCTTTGATTATTTTAATATGAGTATAGTTGATTTATGTAAATGTATATATTCAGAGTGGCCAGCAAATTTTCATATTCATTTTCCATAACTTTTCTGTTTCTTATAAAAATTACCTGACTTTCTGATAATAATTTATCAAAACTTTAACATACAAAGCAACAAAAAATCTAGCCCTTTACTTTCACCCAAAAACATAAACTTGCTTCATAAGTGCTCTAATTTACTTTCAAGTAATGATGTAATTATGAGACTTTAA